AATTAATTCTGGCTTTGCGAACCCGATTTCGTGGCGAATTTGGTCACTTTGTGCTCTATCTTTGTCATTTTTGAGTCGAATGCCCGAATTGATTAGTTGTTCACTGAGGACTCCTACGTTTATCAACCAACTATCGTCCCCATTCTCTGCATCTCTGTTCCTCTCAACTGCCGAGTTGCTTTTGTCACTTGTCCTCCCGTATTGACATTTAATTTACTTTTTCTCTCAGGCCAGACTTGCCGATCAGGATGATAAAGACTTTTTTGAATTCGAACTGCCCCTAGAAACATGTGACTTCTCCGAGTTCCGTACTCTACTTGCGAAGGAGTTTTCTATAGATCCAGCCCAAATCAAGAAGGTCCGGAAACTGCCAAACACTGTGATACGAAACGAATCTGATCTCAAACGACTGGTCAATGGCGTGGAGCTGGAGGTCGTTCTGTGATTTGTACCAAACAGAGTTGCACTGATGTACATGTGTTTAGTTGTAAATATGTCACCACCGTGTTATGCATACATCCGTTTTATACCCATGTTCTTTCATTATTTATTTCTATCTTGAAAAGGTCAGTGGGCATCCACCAAAGAGCACTCATTGCATCCGAGTTTTTTTTGCATGGGCTGTTAATTCCATGCTGGTTTCCCCATGTTCTGATGACGTACTGCTTCTACAATATCTAGCGAATAATCCGTAGTAGTCAGCTAAGGTGCCGTCCGAGAACCAAAATGCCATAGGACCTGTTTGTAGAGACATTTGACTTTGACTGCGTTTGGCGACTTGGCAAATCTCGCGACACTGTATGGCTGAATCTACGGTGCGGTTCTTCTATTCGCGTCTAACTTTTTGATCCTAGTATGTGTATTCTGGTCCATAAATTCCATTCACAACATGAGTCATCGGTTTGCACCGAGCCTCACGTTTTCGGATCGCATTATTTCTCGTCTGAGCTTCATTGTCATTTTATCTTTTCGATCTGGTTGCTTCTGCCCAAAACGCGATTATTGTTTCTAATCTTGTAGGACTAGTTAATACTAGTCCGATACGGTGCGCGAAATTAAGCGCGGATATCAGAAGGCAATCGGAGTCGGACACAGCGGACTGTATTCGGTGGACTAAAATAAGAAGCTGACGGATGAAGCGAGACGAGAGCGAACACGTGAGCGCGGGAACTTACAAGGCGGTCGAGTGTCGAGCCGGTTGTATGGACGATTAAAACAAGAATAATGTACAATCGGTCAACAAATAAACTGTACATGAAAGATAAAGGTTATCTTTCTGGGCGCTGCAATCTATTGGTCACTATTCGTCCATTCTATTGCTTTTCTTCCTTAGACCCATTTGAATTACCTCCACAGTTCAATCTCTTAAAGCTTCAATGTCGCTCATCTTTGGTTAAAAGCTGGATCCCTGCGCTTCCTTTTTTGCAGCAGCTGTTTAAATACATTAAATTAATCAATCGATCTCCACTTGTTTTTCCGCTTCTTTGCGCTCCGCTATTGCGGCCAATAAGATCCTCAAAGTAGCTGACCGATAGACTCGGAGTCTTCTTTATTGGTTCGATTGATAGTCGTTTCTATGGGACCTGAAACGTGGTATCTAACAAGTGCACAATGATAGTGATGTTTATCTTCACAGAGACGAGATACAATCTGGGATGTAGATGAACACGTTTGCTCAGTCGTCTAAGTATTTCTTCAGGTCTAATACGCCACGATACTGCCATCAATGCACACAGTCTTATATGACTCAACACGATTTTCAAGTTACTGTATCCTTATAGGTAGGTTGCTGCAGTAGGTGTCCTTCCTGTTTTTACAGTTAGACGCTCTATCATGCGTTCTACGCCCCTATTTGGACCAGGCGCCAGACATTGTCTTACAAAACAGGTTCTGCAGTCCATTTTTGAGCGGGCTTATCTTAAATAAATTAAACATTTTATTCTCGATAACCCGAGGCACATCTTTACAGATATGATCATGTTAACTAAAGAAGTGTGGTCAAAAATGTACAAAAATACATGTTTTATATAACACTGTATGTCCTGTGGCTTGCCACAGTGACAGGCAAATCCCAAACCGGATGTCGCCAACCATGTATGTGTATGGGTGTATGCACGTATGTAATTGTTCAGTCTCCAACCGTTGTATTCGCTTTTTGTTGATTTCATCAAGGCATTTGATACAGTAAACCGCGGGGCATCGTGGATGATGTTGGGTAGGTTTGGTTGTAGGTTTAATTGAATGTCTGCACAGTGGTATGCGAGCGAGGGTGCAGCTGAGTGGAGAGACCTCGGATGAGTTTGAAGTTGTTTCTGGTTGTGAAGCAAAGCTGTGTCTTAGCTCCTGCCCTGTTTAATATTTATCTTCATGCAGTAATCTCTTGTGCTTTTGATGCGGCTTGTGCTTACGATGTTCGTGTGGAGCACCGTATTGATGGTGGGTTGTTCGGGGCGAGAACCCTAGTCTGTGAGACAACTATCCGTATGTTGCTGTCTGCTGACGACTGTGCGTTGTTTTCACACAGCGCGGATGAGTTGCAGCACATGACTAGTGCTCTAGCTTCGACAGCGGCCAAATTCGGGCTCACCATCAACACAAGCAAAAATGTCTGTCTCTTCTAGCCTTCACCGGAGGTGCAATCTTCAATATTGCCGCGAATCAGCATTGGTGCTGAAGTATTGGAAACCACCTCCCGCTTCTGCTATCTTGGGAATGTGATGTCGACTGATCATCAGCTACACAGTGAGCTGCTTATCCGCGTGTCGAGTGCAACGTCGGCATTCTGGAAGCTTGAGTACCGAGTGTGGGACAACCATCAGCTTAGCATTGGCACAAAGCTGATAGTGTACAAATCCATGGTTCTGTCCGTTCTTTTATACTGCAGTGAAACGTGGACGATTTACCAGCGGGATGTGCGATATCTCGAGCGGTTCCATCAGCAGTGTTTGCGACGGATTGTTTCCATCCGTTGGGGCGACAGAGTTGCGGACACGGAAGTGTTGCGCCGAAGTGGGATGTATGCAGTGGACTGCATACTTTTGCTAAGACATCTGAGGTGGCTCGGTCATGTGCGCCGTATGGATTCAATGCGGATACCGAAACAACTCTTATACGGTCAGCTGAGTATAGGGAAGCGGCATGTGGGGAAACCGAAGCTTCGTTAGCAGGACATGATCAAAGTGAGCCTCTCGCGTTCTTATGTTGGTTGCAGGTCATGGGAATCGAAGGCGGTTGATCGAGTTTCATGGCGTGATCTAATCACGAAGGCAGTTGCCAAGTGGGGGAGAAAGACTGCATGCATGCAGAGAAGAAGCGGCAAGTGCGGAAGTGGCAAGCACCGATGGGTTGTACCCCATCGACATCGAGCGCATAGTGCTGTAGCACATGTGGTCGCGAGTGCCTGAGTCAGGCAGGCCCAGTGAGCCATTAGCGAGGCCACTCGGGACCACAACCGAAGCGACGACGGGTCCTGCAGAGAACGTAGACAGAACCGGCGCAGCGTTTGTAGGTACGCTGCATTCGATTTACTAACCGCGTGCTTGCATGCTATTTATTTCAGGTGGTGGGTTTTCAATTTTGTCCTAATACTTTTCTTTCTCATCTAAATGTCTACCTCTGTTCTCTTCTATAAACTTGCACACATCGCTTAAGTCAATTGTAGTTAATTACGATAACATGTTTGTGTTTGCGGTGTTTCCATAAAATACACTTTGTGACCTCATGAACTTATCTCGTATTCGTATGTAAACAACTTATTTCATATACTCATTAATTTAAGATTTATGTCACCGTTTCCTTATGCATTGCTCGCTTTATTTTCTTTGTTATCCTTCTCTCAAGTGATTGGCTGTTGCTTGATATCCCCGGTGTGGTTGCGCTTGTTCTGCATGTTGACAAGGTGCCTACCTGTCTATTACCCACTAACTCGTCCATACTGACTCTAGGAGACAGTTGGTCGTTATTGGAGGGGACGGGGTGCACGGTCCTTGTGGTCGTTTTAGGATCAATGAGGGGTTCCATGCACTCAGTGTGGAGCGGACTACGGTCCAACCACCGCCTTGTGTGCACTTGATTCCCCAAATACAGCGTGAGTGTGTTTGTCTGTGAAGGAGTTTGGGCCGGCTCCGTTGATGAAACGTGGCTCCCATCCACATACCTCCCGGTCTTATTCCTTCGGGTTTACACTGGATATGGGTGTGTGGAGTGAGGTGTGGGTGGTGCAGCGCAAGGCAACCATTGTCCCTCTGTAGACGCAGGTGTCCTGTGGCTGGCCATAGTGACAGGCAAATCGGAAACCGGAGGCTGCCAACCAATTATTCGGTCTATAGCTGTGTAGCTTGTGACATTATGTGTGTTGCTGTCTTATTGAATGTTTGGTATCATCAGGAATTTGAAAATAAACGAACCATGTCCTTGGGTTGGATACCATTATCCGGATGTCCACACGGCAGTGACTTTAGTTTGTGGCGAGTCACTTCCGCCACGTCACAGTGTTGTTAACCGGACAGATGTGGTTTTTTTATAGGGAGAACATTTGACAGGGGAAACCCATTGTTGTTGCCTGGTTTACCCATCCGCGTCCACAGAAAAAGCTCTCACCGGCTCTGCACACAAACGATCTATTCCCAAGTCTGAGGCAAAGTACAATTAGCTGGGGGTTTGAAAACTCACTCGTCCGCTCAATCAATCGCCTGAAAGACCGCACTGCGGCAGGCGATTCCCTTCGCCCCAGTTTTCAGTTACCATCATATTTTTTCCATTTTTTATGTTTTCGCAATAAGTTCTGTACGGTTTTCCGCTGCGCGTGCGCTTGCTGTCTCGGGCTGTGGATTTAGGTACCCTTTCTGGTTGCTGCTGCCGATCTTCGCTCTGCGGAGTTCGTTTATTACGTGCTCTCCTAATTTGCACCCGACTCCGTCCAATGATATTGCTCCCTATCCTGACTTCGTAGCTCCTTTCTCTCCTGCGACCCTCAGTCACTCTCCTCCGGCAACGTTCTCCCGAATCTGGTATTGGTTGCACCCATACTTCTCCTACATCTAAGGGTGGAGGCATCTCGATCCACAGTCATAGTACTTCTTTTGTTTTATCATTTTCTTCCGTAATCGGTTGGGCACAGAAGCGTCCTGTGCTATCTCGGGCTCTAGCAGCATTGTAACAGCCGGTACGAGCGTTGTAGTTCTGCTACTGAATAGTCGCTGCACCGGACTTACTCCCATCTCGGTAGACGGCGGGTTTCTTCGTTCCAACAACATTATGTAGGGATCCTCGTGGGTCTCCTTGACTTGACTAAGCACTTTCTTCGCCTCCTTCACCGCTGACTCAGCCTTCCCATTTGATTGGCTGTGGTATGGGCTGTTGAGCCGATGCCGAAAATCCGACTTCTTGCTAAAAGCGCGGAATTCTGCACTGCTGAATTGCAGGCCGTTGTCGGAAATCACCACC